TCGTAATCAGTTACCACATATTCTTCATGTTCCACTTCGGATCCAACGTCGTGTGCTGCCCCTTGTCCTTCCTCGGGGTCGTTTTCAATCATTCTGTGGTCCACCAAGACCTGGTGATACTGAATCCCTTGACGCTCCTCTTCCATGGTGACTGTGATGAGGAACACGTAAGGAGGGTATATAAAGAAACTATCATTATTCCTAAGATATTTTTAGTTGTTATAAAATTGGATTAATGCTCTCCTCTTGTTTAACAAGAGGGTATGTCTTAGGTTTACTGACCATCGCGATCACCCCAGGGCATGTAATAGTTGTATTCTGAAGAAATGTAGTTGATCAGGCTACATTTATCCCTAATACAACTGTAAACAGTCCTGGCCTAACCGAGACGTCAGGTTCTCCCAATCATCTTCTTTGATTTGTTATTATGTTCATTTTTCTAAGTCGCACAAGTAAGATTGTTTATTAGTATATTTTATTTGTTTTGTTCAGAGTTATTTAGTCCCTCTTTGGGTTTATAGTTGCATATTAATGTGTGGTTAGATATGCCAGTTCACTATAAACAGAGCTCTGATACCAACCTGTCACACCCCCGAACCAGACGGCGGAAATGTCCGAGGGCTCGTGTGACTTAAATTGAAATATCATCACAATGAATATACATGAAACATAACATAAACATCCCCATGCATTAATACATTACAACCGTCATTGTTCACATCCAGTACATTGTTTACATTACATAATCCATAGCATAAATTGTTTGAGAGTCACAAAACATAACATCCTAACACACTTGGCAATTTTCTTCAGCTTATCTGTTACATGAGAATACAAGTTATTTTGAAAACGGTCAACATATATAATGTTGGTGAGTTCATAAGCAGGTTTGATATAAAAATGTTTTGTGTAGTTTGTAAAACCCAGAAAATCTGATATTTTCTTAAAAGACAAGTGTTTACGAAATAGGTGTGATGATCCATAAGTATATGCGTGAATGATTTCAAAACGTGTAAAAGTAGTATGAATTCTTGCATTATAGTTATCGAAAGTGAAAGTGAATAATGTTGTTCCCCCGGAAAACCCGATGTTTTCCGATATAAATAATTGATCGTTTTGTATTATTATATCATCACAACGAATAAATATGATTTCCCATGATTACTTAGATGGTATTTGGATCTCTATGTGAGTCGTTATAACCATGCATAATAATGACTATTTCGTCTGTCTTGGCATTCTAGTGAAAGTCGGTATTGAATTTAAGATTTTGTCACCTTAAACTGGTCGAGTCTAACTATAGCGAACAGCTTAGGTGTGGAGGAGTCACCCACGTATAGATCTATACACAAACTCTCGCTCTCCCTCCAGGAGACTTTAATTATAACTATAGACTACGACCGACAACTTATTGGTGTCGCCCGTTATTACTTTACTAAATCCAAATGAAATTGAATAACCTTGTTTAACGACCTGATTTATGTTTACTTGAATAAGAGCTAAGCCTAACAGACGAAGAGAAGAGGACTACGGGGGCCCACTAATCACGCATGTTATTATAGGCTGTCGAGTATGCGACGGACACGTTAGCCCATCACACATATGATTGATTTGGACCTTACTAGCAATGCAAATGGCCCACTATGGCCCAATAGCATGTAAAAGCCATTGAGAACCCATTAGGCATGTAATTGGGTCACCTGAGGCCCAATAAACATGTATTATTTATGTTGGGCCCAATAGTCATGTTAATGGGTCACGAAGGCCCAATAAGCATGATTAGAAGTACTAAAGCCCAACCGATATAATGTTTACTTGTTTTGTATAGTATTAATGTCGTAAGGTTTGTTTCACACGAATTGTTTAATCGAAAAGTCACCACATTCGCCAAATTGTTTTATAATGATATTTAGATTTATAAAATATATATATATATATATTTTTTTTTCTATTTAAATCCATCAGTTATTAAAAATTATGTATTTTTGACCCAGTTATTTTAATATTAACATAATTGACCCAGAAATAATTGTTTGACCAATTCAGCCCCTTTTCTAGTAAAAATGACAAATTTTTACCCCTTTTTATGAAAAATGAAATTTTAGGTCCTTAGATTATGTTTCTTGACATTTTCGGCCCAGACACTCATTTAAATCATGATTTCAGCCCAAAATAAGGTTTTGGACAGTTTCAGCCCTTTAATTAAAAAGATTTACACTTGTAGTCCAAATTTTCGCAATTTTTACAATTTCAGCCCAAAATCCAAAAACTTTGCATTTTTAGTCCTATTTGGTAAGAAAGACATTTTCAGCCCCTGAAATTTGTTTATTTATGTTTTTAACTCATATTTTGATAAACTTGCAATTTCAATCCCTTAAGTTTCATATTTTTCGCAAATTGGGCCTAAAAGCCGAAAAGCCCAAACTTTAGCCCATTAGGCTAAAATTTACACTTTTAGTCCTTTAAAAACCGTGATCTTCATAATAACTCATATTTTAAGTGATTTGACCCTTTTGACCCTTATAAAAACCGTAAATGACATCATTTCCTCCATCTTTTGCTTATTTGTCAAAAATGGTTCATAAATAGAATTTGTGTTTTGTTTTACTTAGTTTGAACTTGTATAATACTTTTGCCTTGATAATAATATGTATAAGATATATTAGGTCACATATTTCCTTAACAAGGTTAAGAATCTCGAATAGATCAAGTTTCTAACACATAATCATCAAATAAATTCAAGAAATCACACATATCATACCAAAAACACATGGATCTATACATTTTACTTGTATTCTCCCCCATAAATCATGTAAAAACCAAAACAAAGGGGTATGAACTCACCTTGCTTAGTTGTTTCGGTTTTGAAGAAGATGTGAAGAAGATTTTTGGTCTTAGCAAGCCTCCTTGAGTTGATTTCGAACTTAAGAAGCAAAGATTGACAACACTTCATGAAGATCCTTGAATCCAAGCTAAATTTTCGAGATTTCTCTGAATGAAGAAAGGAGATGATCCTTAAGAGTAATTGAGAGAATTTGTGTAATGTGTGTGTGTGTGTTTCCTCTCGGCCGAAGATAAGAAGAGAGGGGAGAGAAAGGAGTGAAATGACCATTATGGATATATGTTGGATTATGCATGGAGGTATGAAGGGTAATAAGGAAGTGGCAATCATAAAAGTCAACTCTTCCTATTTCTTTTTTTTATATGTAGTTGGGCCGAGAGGGAGAATGGAGAGAAAGAATTTGGGCCTTTAGTGCTTGAGTTCCATAATGTGAAGCCCAAATTGATGGTTTTCGGCCCATTGGGCCCTTAAGAGGGTTAAGGCCCAAATTGCATAAAAGAATGAGTTTTATGGCCCATTAGGGCTTATTGGATTTGTTATGGCCCAACAAGGCCCATTAAGGAAAACCAATCCATTTTAGGCCCATTATGGCCCAAAAAAGTTAAGGTTCATAAAAGTGGGTTGAATTAGAGCCCAATTACGAGTTCTAAGCCCAAACTAGTCAAATTGGAGACTTATTGGTCCATTAGGCCCACATAAGAAAATCCTAGTCCTTATTGGACTTAAACCGGGATTTTTAGGGTTTCCAATCTTTTGTTGACTATTTGAAGTGTTGTATAGAGTGTTTGATGGAATTTTGTTGTTATTGAATAAACATAATGTTTTCAAGTCATGGTTACAATTATTGATAATGCTTACATAAAGATAGAACTTCCTAGCCAATTTGCTAGTTGTGACAATATATATATATATATACATACATATATATATATATATATATATATATATATATATATAATTTTGTTACTATTCACTAGGCTTTGGAAGACAAACAATAGTTTGACATGTACACAGTTAAGTAGTTGTCTAGTAGCAACTTGTGGAGATTAGGGAATTTGTATGGATTTTCAGAAGACTTTATGATTCATTTGGAATAGTATTGTATTAATTGACATGGGCATTTCTTAAACATTAAAAATATTTTATTTGTCTAACTTAAATTTTTAATATCATATTACCCTTTGTAAAATTCAAAATTTATATTTGCGCAAATATTTTTTTTTTACAATGTTTTTAGTAGTCTATAATCTTGTTTTATATCTTAGAATTATTATAGTAATTAAAAATTTCAACCATATTATACATACGTCTATAATAATCGAACGTCTTTTTCTAAGTTATTGGAATGTTGCTCTCTTGACAAGTAAAACGCTTCATCTTCAGTCCTCTCCGTGGAATGTATGCATTGATCGTTTAGTTTTTGTTGTTGTTGAACTTTATCATGTTGTAGATGGAGGATATTTCAGATATTATCATTGATATTTTGATGTTTAAGGTCATATATGATATTTTGATATTTAAGAAGGGCATTATATATATATATATATATATATATATATATATATATATATATATATATATATATATATATAGAGAGAGAGAGAGAGAGAGAGCTAGGTTCAGGTATTTAAAGTAATTATTGTGTTATTGTATGAATAAATGTAGGCCAATCATTTCAAAAGGGTAAATATGTAATCTTATTTAATTAATTATGGTAAATATATAAATCAATTAATATCCCTTTAATTTAGGAATATCAGTTTTAAAACCCAATTTCTAGTATATATCCTCACGCCTGCCTCTTCCCTATTCTCTTATATTCATCGTCGCCCCAACCTTTTCCCTCTCATCTCCCTCTCGTACACAATCCACTTCCGGCCGACCAAGCACACACACGACGACATATTCTGGAATACGACCAAGCACAACCTTTTCCCTCTCATCAAATTCACAAGTTGTTGCTGTCGGGGTATTCATAATGTATGCCCAAACACTTCCAATTTCAAATTATAATCTCAATCCCACAAAAACCTCATCTTCGTTTCGTTGCTTAAACCCTAACCCACCTTCAACCCAATTTGTTAAATTTCAGTCCTTTTCGAATTATAGATTTGGGTTATGTAATTCAACCAAAAGGGTATCTGATTCATCAAACAATATGAGGAGGCACGTTGGATTAGGTGGGATTACATGTGAAGAAGCGTCACTTGGGAAAGATGATAAGAAAGATAATGACGATGGATTTTATATAAGGAGGTGTCTGGAGCTTGCTAGAAAAGCTATTGGGCATACTACCCCTAATCCCATGGTTGGTTGTGTTATCATTAAAGATGGGAAAATCATTGGTGAAGGATTTCATCCCAAAGCTGGGCAACCTCATGCTGAGGTACTTACTTCAATATTGCCTTTTCTGCTTCGAACTTTCACATATATGATATATGTATGACTCGCTTTTTTTTTATTCCATTTCACAGGTTTTTGCTTTAAGGGATGCTGGGGAATTGGCAGAGAACTCAACTGCATATGTGAGTTTAGAACCATGTAATCACTTTGGAAGAACTCCTCCATGTTCTGAAGCACTAATCAAAGCAAAAGTGAAAAAAATGGTGGTGGGAATGGTTGATCTGAATCCAATTGTAGCCTCAAGGGGCGTTGCTAAATTACAAGATGCAGGAATTGATGTAACAGTTGGTGTTGAAGAAGAACTCTGCAAAAAGTTTAATGAGGCATGGATACATCAAATGAAAACTGGGAACCCTTTTGTTACCTTAAGGTAAGTTTTATTTTTATGTCATTAAGTGTTGTATGGATAAGTGATGAATACCCCGACAGCAACTGTTAACAATTTGGTAAATTCGAATTATATACAGATTGATACTGTGAAGGGTAATTTAGGTATTAACAGATCAGATGTTGATCCTAGGAATAAAAAGGAGAAAGAGATTGATGGCAATGTAGTGTTGTCTGGTGGTGAAAATAAGAAAAACAATAAAAATAGATTTGATGTTTTAGGATCGATTGAAGAGAATATTTTTGAAAAAATGGATGAGGATTCTGTGACTGCTGGGCAGGGTATTCCGGGCATTCCTGGTGATACTGTCATGGATCCTTGTATTTCAGATCAGATGCTTGTTGTTTCTAATCTGAATAGTGAGAAGTGTGGGGTTGGTAACAGTACAGTGGGTGTTATGCCTCAAGCTTTTGAGAAGTGTGGGTCTAAAATGCTTCAACTGAATGGTGAGAAGTGTGGTGCTAAAATGCTTCAACTGAATGGTATTTCTTCGTTTATAGTATTCTATCAGAAAAGAATGTTTTTTATGATAATCATGAACATATTCTGTTAGAATTCCCCAAAATAATATAATTATTGGTAAATGAATTCCAATTCTATCAGAATGGAATCACGAATTCCAATTATGTTGGAATGGAATATAGATATTTTCTCACTAATTTATTCATTGGATTTGTTTCTACAGAAGTTGATGCTTGAAGAACGGACCACGAAATTTGAACGACGCCTTTTAGCAACATTATTCTTTTAGAATGTATTAGTGTCTTTGTTAGATTTTGATGTTTTTTTTTCAGATTTGAAAGTTTTTTTTAGTTTTATTCTTTAAAAATAAATGTAATTCTTAGCAATTATTACATGTATTCTATAAGAATTAATGTAATTGTTGTTTTAATTTTTCAATTGATGGTTCGAGAATTTTGTTATTCTACAAGAAATTTTTAAATTCATGATCAAGAAATATGTTCACGAATATTTTTATTATTTTATGGTTCCAGAATATTTTTATTTTTGAACATAATCAAACATATTCTGTCAGAATGTCCGAATCAAAAACCTTATAATTCGTAAAATCGGATTTTTAAAATTATAATAGAGTCTATGATCCCTTAAAATATGCAAATTTCCTTTATTAAATCTATATTAATTGACTAAAATACCCTTATAGTTAAAATTAGATGGTATTTTTCAATTATATTTAATTCAATAATATGTATTAATCACTTTCTTAAAATAAGTAAAATGATTGGCCCACATTTATGCATACAATAACACAATAATTACTTTGAATATAATAACCTAAGCATATATATATATATATATATATATATATATATATATATATATATATATATATATATATATATATATATATATATTGATCACTCTAATTGAGGGTCACTCGTAAACACTTTCTAACAAATCATTTTTCTTTGTTGAAAGACATTGAAGTTAGAGATATTCTCTTTTAAAAGGCGATTTTATAATTATTATTTCAAACTTGTTCGAATACGAATGGTGTTCTTTGATGGGAGCATTATGGTGACTTTATTGAAAACATTTTATATTTATGTTTTTTTTATTTGTGATTGCAATGCAAAATATGGATTTGTTTGTTATAGTCATGGTTGTAAAAATCGGTCTAGGCGGTCGATTAATTGGCGCCTAGGCTCTTGGCGGCCTTCAACCGCCTACGAATAAGTGTTAGAGGGTAAAATAATCGGCATTGGTCAATATCGGTCAAAACCGGTCTAATTCGGTCCTAATCAGACTAAATCGGACCAACTCGGACTCCAAATCAAACCAAATTGGCTCGGCTAACTCTAAAAGATCCACCGACTCAAAGGAGCCGGCTAACCCAAAGCTTAGCTGGGTTTGATTCTCAAAGGAGCTAGCTCCCCTTTATATAGAATAAATTTTGTGTTCGTCTATTATCCCACCAACGATGTGGGATAAACTTTTAATGGTTTTGTGTTCATCTATTATTCAGCTCTGATTCACCTTTAATTCAAACTCATCCCTATCTCTCTCGCAGGTTTGCAACCTCGCTAGTCACCGATTGGAGAATCGCAGACACGCAGTCGAAGCACATCTATTATGATTATGTAAGATTAGGCTCTACTCGTCGATAGCAACCTTGTTTTCCCGTCGACACCAAGTGTTCATTTTCCTGATTATGTAAGATTAGTTGTTTTTCAATTTATTAATCTCGTGCTATAGAATTCAGTTGAGTTCAGGGATATGTATGTACATATTGAATCTTGTTGAATCGAAACAATGTTAGAATCTTGTTGTTGCAATAACTCGTGATTATGTATGTATGTATGTTACTTCCAAGATCATTGTTGTTGCAGGTTGTAACAGGTAGGACATAAGTGGTGGTGACGTTGGTTTGTGTATGAAACCATCTTCATGAAACCATCTGCCCACCAAGTGTTCGATCAATTACCTGAGTGAATCTTGTAGTCTTGATTATCAAAGCAAGGTGTTGGTATTCATGGGCCAGTCATCTCTTCTTGTCCGATCAGCAGAACATGAAAGGGGAAGGAGTGTATGGAAGCAAAACAACATCATCCAAATTTATTCAATTCTCATTTTCTAGGGGGTGTTCTTGCTTCAGGGGGGTGTTCTTGCTGCTTCAGGTTCTACACAATAATTTCTTTAATTGAGTAATATGATTCATGTTCAAAACTTGTTGGCTGTAGTGATGTACCATTTGGACGCTATTAAAAATTGGAGGGTATAATGGTCCACTTTTGTTGTTCCCAGTTTGTGTATAATACTATCAAGTGATTCTTTTTTGGTGTTGTAATAGATTTGTTGTGATTACTTCAGCTTGTATTTGTAACATCTTATTCCATTCATAGGATGGTTTTAATCTAGTAAACAATCATTGATGTTAAAAAAAAGTGCTTATGTGCTTAAATCCATCATAAGATCCCTTTTTGATCAATGCTTGAATGTTTTACTCGTTTTTAATGCTTTACTACTTCTAATTTAGAAGTACTTTATTTATAAATTATTGATGTTGTAATTCTAATTTTTTGAATGTTTTAATCCTAAATTTTGAATGTTGGAGTTTAGGCTTGTAATATGAGGTGGATCTGTGTAAAGTTTCCCTTATATATTTTTTAATATTTTTTTATAAACATACCTTTATATTTTTAGCATTAATGTTATATTTTTAATTTTTTAATAATTAACGGTCCCCGATTAATCCCTGCCTAGCCGATTAATCTCTTGACCCCAGTCCACTGCCGAGCTACCGTCGAGCGATTTCTGCAACCTTGGTTATAGTAGTTTTTTTATATTTATTAAAGAAAAAACAAAGTTTTTTTTTGTTAAAAAGCATTGTCTTACATTTAACCTATACTTGAATTGACGGATTCTCAGATAAAAGGGATCATTTACTTGTCTTAAGTGTCGTTTAGGTTTAATAATATAAAGAAGGGTTTTATGAAGAAAAATCTTATTAATTTGGGAAAATTTTTGATAAAGTATTATTTTTTTTAATAGAAAAACTATGATTATTTAACATTTTTCTCCAAATTAACAAAAAAGTCATTTTTTTGTATTTTAACAAGAAATGACAAATTATGTGATTTTTCCAAAACAATGAGACCGTTTTTTATTAAAAAAAACTTTTAAGACTTTATCAAAAAATTTCCTCAAATAATGAGACTTCACTGCATAAAACCCTATAAACAATATTGATGAAAGAGGGATAAAGATGAACATATTCTGATATGTATGGGTTAGAATACAAGTTGGAGGGATATGTTGATATACTTGAAGATATGAGGACTAAATGTGTATCAAGTCGGAGAATATAAACACCAAAGTGGGGCAGATATCAAAGACTAACAACATTGTGTCGTTTCCTTCATATAGAAAATCATAAAGCCCTCTTCACTGTATATACAGATAACGTGGGTGTTTGAGAGTGCTTTTAAAAATGACTTATTAGTTTATTGACTTTTTAAAAAGCTAATAAGTTAAAAATGTGTTTGGCAAACAGTGACTTTATAGGCAAAAATGACTTTTGCAAAAAACCATGAATTCATGGCTTTTCCAAAAAGCCATGAATTCTTGGCTTTTCCAAAAAGCCAATAAGCACTTTGAGAAGCAATTCCAAACACACCCTAATTCGTTCTGATTCCTTTCATTAATCAGTTTTCTTGTGGTTTGCACTTCCAGATTAAAGTATTTGGGTGGTACACCCAATCTTTAATCGGATAAGACTCAGAATTGAGAGAAAAACAGAAGAGAGAATGTTTTGATGTTATGAAGAAGAAGTGTACCAACACAGATTCGGATATGATCATGTTTTGATGTTATGAAGAAGAAGTGTACCAACACAGATTCGGATATGATCATACAACTTCTTGTCTTAAAACTGCCACATGACAGTTTTATGTCCTAAAACTGTCCACAAACGGTCATAAACAACCTTAAATCCGAGTCTAGAATATGGATCACAAAACCGGGTACATTTATCAAAAATCCGGATTTCTGATCCAATTTTAATATAGTAGCTCGATCCTAGCCAGGGGCTCTGCCCCTTGGACCCCGCTCCCAGGGGCGCTGCCCCCGGACCCCCGTCGGTTTAGGGGCTTCACCCCTAAATAGCAGTATACTTTCAACAAAGACAAAATTAAACAAATGTGCACTCCACACCATACCGATTTGTTCAATAAATGTCAAAGTGACATTGATCAACAAATTAACCCCATTACACTTAAATAACATTAGTGATATAAAATCACCAACAACCCTCCCCCATTTAAGTGTAATCTTGATTAACTTAACATTAAAATCATAACAACAACAAACCGATGCATAAATGAAATATCGTGACGATTGAATTTCACATTAGTATATTACTCATTCCAAATATTCGAATATGAGGGTGTCACTAAGGATTGAACCCTTTCTATTCTAAGTGAATACATGAAGATAATATACACAACAGTTTACATTCTCAAAGTTCTAACTTGACACTATATTTTACTAGCTTGTGTCCCATCCTTCAATAAGCATATTAAAGCCAAGTCCTAACTTCTTGAAGCAGCTAAACTTCATGCTTATATAGGTAGTCCTTTTATTCTTGCACCTGCAAATGCAATTTTTCAAAAGAACTATTAAGAATATAAATTCAACCTCCTTAACTTGCAGTACTAAACACATACCTTGGGATGATAATAATAATAATGTGTTCCAATCTTCAAATATCAAGTTTTCCACATTGAATTCAACATCTAATATTACATTAGATGGGAATTGGGTATCTCAATATAAAAGATTTTAAGTGGACTTTAAACCCATCCCTACAGCCGCCTTGTGCACAAGATCTCTTGCTAACCCTTTGGTTAGATGATCGGCTAAATTCAACTGAGTTCTTACAAACTCCACAGATATCACACCAGTCATGATGAGCTCACGAATCATGCTATGTCTAACACCTAAATGTCTAGACTTCCCATTGTACACTTGACTATAAGCCTTAGCCAATGCTTCAGCACTATCACATCTGATAGAAATGGTAGATATCGGTTTGGGCCATAATGGAATTTCATAAATCAAATTCCTTAGCCACTCAGCTTCTTTACCAGCAGCAGACAATGCAACAAACTCAGACTCCATGGTTGAGTTAGTAATACAAGTCTGTTTCTTAGATGCCCAAGAAATGGCACCTCCTCCAA